ATAACTACATACACTTATATATATATATATACATGAATGATGCAGGAAAGCGCAGGCAGAGACAATTGACACGCCATTGCTGGTCGCCACTGTGCAGTTGTAAACAAGACAAATTGGAATCGCTCTGTATCTTCTCAGGTCTTTGTACCGGGTCTAAAGGTTGGATGACCTGCAGAATCTGAAAGCCGATTCACAAAGGTTATTGCAGACTAAGGTTCCGACATGTTTTCTTTGATGTAAGCCTAAAGCGGGTCAAAAAACATAATGCAATTTACATCATGTATCTAAAACATAAAAAGGTGACATATTTTCCTCAATACCACACTTTAACGTTCACCTAAGAGAAACGCGATTCAAGAGACGGGGTGAGCATTTTTCGAGACTCACGTGGAGACGTCTAGATAGCCGGGGGATGAAATTTACAAGCTTACACTGAAATGTGGGGGCAGGTGGTGTCGTTGTCTCAGAATGAGCAGTTTGTGGGCTAGGCCAGAGACCGTATTTATAATCATTGGGCAAGGCTACTGTAAGTCATTTATTTCAGTCTGTGTATGCATCCAAAGAGCGGTTTTTTTATAAAGGGCTCAAAGAGAAAAACTTAAAAAAATTTCTGGATCAAGATTTTCTGAGAAATTTATTGTTTGTTTGCTTAGTCGCAGGCCTGCAGAAATGCCATGCAAAGTTTCGTGGGGATAGATCTAAGTAAATTAGTAAATGAGCAAAATGTTTTAACCCTTTCAGAAGAAGAAAGTGAACAAACTATAACATAGTCTAGTTATTAAACACCGCCCTGCCCCCATATTTCAGCGCAAGCTTGTACTTGTCGATTCTTTCCTTTAAACGCCAAGACACCTCCACGTGAGTCTCGAAAAATGCTCACCCGTCTAGGCCTATGGAACTGCGCGTGTCTTGTCCTTGAGGTTCAGTGACCCAGAGTGGGCACACGCAGCCTCCGTTCATTTACGTGGGTGACATCACTGCCACCAACTCTAGTGCTAAATAAAACCTCTTTGTGTGGGGGACATCACTGCCATCAACTCTAGATCTAGATCTCGTGCTAAATATAATCTCTTTGAGAGAGAACCTCTCAGGAGATGATACACGGAGAGGAATTTTCCATCACCGTGGGAGTTGTGTGTTAGATCTGATTGTTTCGGTTTGTGCTTCATTCTGTGCGTGTTTGCTGTCACTGTCAAGAGCTATGGAGGAGTTGGTCACAAGGAAAGGGAAGGTTGATGTCCATTCTGATGAGACAAAGACTTTTTCCTTTATCAAACAACGGTTTGGATCTTGATATCTAGATCTAGAGGTGCTTCACAGGGAATGTCTGAGGACAATCTCAAGCCTGATGAACGCAGAGGGAAATATGTCAAGTGAGTACTGATTACCCTTTAACCCTATCCGTACGTCGTGTTTTACTATCGTATCCATACGACGTGGGGAACTCAGTGCCACCACTTAACCCTATCCGTACGTCGTGTTTTACTATCGTATCCATACGATGTGGGGAACTCTGTGCCACCACTTAACCCTATCCGTACGTCGTGTTTTGCTATCGTATCAATAAGACGTGGGGACCTCTGTGCCACCACTTAACCCTATCCGTACGTCGTGTTTTGCTATCGTATCAATAAGACGTGGGGACCTCTGTGCCACCACTTAACCCTATCCGTACGTCGTGTTTTGCTATCG